CCTCAGCTAAATTAGGCGGTCCTAGGCACTCTTTTCCTCCGGCACTATTGGGGCAAACGCCATTTTGACACAGAAATTTGTTTTAAGGTTGTCAAACACGTTAACGGGATGACCAAAAGGCTATTATTTTGTTAACGTTATGTTCATTTCAGTAGGTTATGTGGGTATTTTAACCTACATAAGTGTTACACTACCAATAACAGCTAACCGAATTGAACCCAACCTAACCTGAAATATTCTAATATAACGAAACTTGTATTACGTTGGCAAGTTCATTTGATGTCTTAGAAACCATCCATGTAGATGGTTTCGTTCTTTATGCAAATTCGCGACTGCATTATGTCTTTTGAAAGTAGGATTCTCCGGATGAAAACCAAATTTCCCCAAAAGGTGCCTCGGATTGCCTAATTCATCTCAAGAATGCAGAATGTTGTAAACATTGCTTGAGTAGTTTAAGAATACCAAATTTAATTTATAGCCAATCAAAGAAACTCAGAATATCCAGCCCTCAGCCATCGACGTCAAAAAAGGCAGCAGACTGAGATAGAGATAGACATGCATTTCGATTTGTATTGTGACATTCCGGTTATTGCTTTTGAGCTAACAAATTCCCACGACAAAGAAGATGTTTATCGTATTCCAATCATGAATAATAACCCTATGCCTCAAACTCCAAGTAAATTGACACGTTGCAACAAAAGTCTTACCTACTGGAAAACGAGAGCTATCCAGTAAGCTTCGCTTTTTCTATAGTATGAATGCTACAGTAACGTTATTTAAACATAAAAGTAACCGTCGATTTCGACGGGTTTCACCTAGTTTTGATTAAATTTGGTTTAATGGTGTAAGGTGGGACACAATTGGGTTTTTCTTATCTTAAACCCTTAAAACACAAAATTTCTTAATATCTCTCTAGACCTTTTTAAAGAGTTAAGAACAATTGGTATATCAAGTGTTTTTGTACGGTTATTGGTAACGGAGAAAATTAAATATATATATATATCTTAGACTCCCACGTCAGAGACGTTCTTATGGAGAATATTGTAAAATATTGTAGTTTGCTTGTCTATGGATATATTTTGATCAAACTTGGCAGATTTATTTATTTTATACTAAGCTATTGATATTTTACTAAAGACCACACTTTATAGGTTTCCTTTTAGCAGCAAATTAGGTACTCGTTAAACCTAATGTTATTTAAATAGATTTATATTAAAATCAATTCAGATTAATGAAATTCGCTTAGTCGGCAGGTTTGCTGCGGCGGTTTTATTAGCGAATTTCCCTATAGGGAAGTAGCTATTACCGTAGGTGGCATGGTAAGACCTAGGTCCGTGACCGATTTACTTTTAATTTTGATGTCCCCAGAGGCCAAAAACACCATTCGTTCAAATTTATATATATAGATTTATATATATATGTGTACATGAACGCGATAACTTGAGTAATTTTTGTCCGATTTTGATAAAATTTGGTTTAAAGGTGTAAAGCGCGATAAACTTGAATGAGTTCGCGAACCAGCATGATCGGACCATGGGAACACGGTTTTACGGGGGGTTTTATGGGGTAAAAATTGGTTTTTCTCACTTTTGACCCTCAAAACACAAAATTTCCCAATTTCTCTTTAGACCTTTTTAAAGAGCTTAAAAAAACAAATAATTTAGCATGTAAAAGTATTTTTGTTCGGTTATTGGTAACGGAGAAAATTAAAAAAAATTGTAAATTCAAAATTCCCATGTTATGCTTATGGAGAATATTGTAAAATGTTGTAGTTTGCTTGTTTATGGATATATTATGATCAAACTTGGCAAATTAATTTATTTTACACTAAGCTATTAATATTTGACTAAAAAACACGCTTTATTAGTTTCCTTGTAGCAGCAAACCTAGGTACTCGTTAAACCTTATGTTATTTAAATGTATTTAACGAAAATCAATTCAGACAAATGGAAATTCGCTTAGTCGGCAGGTTTGCTGCGGCGGGAGTATTTTTTATTTATGACTATCCATCACGGCCGCCTTTAACTCAAGGCCGCGGCCTGTAGTTAAAGGCATCGTGCTATTCATCCACTTTTTTGTGAACAATAAAGACTATACTGCTACTTGATGCTAGCGTAATTCAGCCCTTTTACAGTTAAAACACAGCTGTTTTTTTTTCTTTCGGTTGTCTGCTATGCATTAGCAATGACCAGAAAAAGGAAAAAATAAACTCCAACATTAACCATGAATGGACATCAAATCCCACTGGAAGATCAGATTAAATTATTAGGTATTACAATTGACAATAAATTAAAATTTATTGACCATATAAATAACATAACAAAGCAATGCGAGAAAGACATCAATATATTGAAAATGATAACATGTGGAAGAAAAGGAGTTAATCCACAGTTTGCAATGAAGATATACAAGGGCTTGATCAGACCAAAATGGGAGTATTGTTCCTTCCTATTTGATCAGTGCCCCAAACAAATTATAAACAAAATTGAAAAAATCCAAAATCAGGCATTAAGGATTTCACTAGGAGCCTTCAAATCGTCACCAATAATAGCACTTCAGAACGAAGCAGCAATTGAATCTACTCAAATTAGACGCAACAATCTCACGGAAAGAATTGTCTATAAAACACTCACTGACCACAACAATAGAAATAGACACAAAATCCTTTACCTTGATCTTCTAACAAAAATAAACCCGTACTGGAGACACAAAAGAATCACTTCATATATTGAAGTTAAAGCAACGATAGAAAACTTTTACCCAAACCTATTAGAGAATGAACTGGAAAATGTAAGAACCACTGATTGGGATGAACCACCAATACTAACCCATGCACATTCCAGTCAACATCAATGACACCTTAAATTCATTCCAGAAACCAAAAAAGAGACAAACCCAATCTTTTATCAACAATTGGCAAATGAAATATTAGAGACAACATTCAGGAAATCATGCAAAATATTTACTGATGGATCCAAAACCACAAAAGGAACCGGAGCAGCATACATCATCCCACAACTTAAAATAGAAAAAAGATATAAGCTACCCAAGCACACATCAATTTATTCAGCAGAATTGTTTGCAATTCTAATGTGTACTCAGAATCTGTCTGAAATACCTAGCAATGAAGTATTGATATGTAGTGATTCACTTTCCGCAATTTCATCCATCAAAAACCTATGCAACAGAACATCAAATAATGCAAACAATATGAGCTTAGCAATCTTGAAAAATTGTATAGATTCCAAAAAGATGGCCACTCTTCAATGGGTCCCTAGCCATGTAGGATTAAGATACAATGAAAAAGTTGACATCGCAGCAAAGGAAGCTATAACATCTGGAACTGACACAAAAAACATAATTTTACGAATAAATGATTTGAGATCATATCAAAAGGATAGGACATGGAAACAAAGAAACAATATTTTAAAAACTACTCCCAAGGCCTACTGGTATAAATCTATACAAAATAGCAGCACACTAGCTCCATGGTACCACAGCACAGATATGTACAGATGGGAAGTAATCAATATCATAAGGATGAGGATTGGTCACACTATGTTAAACAAAACACTCCATAGGATGAATCTATATTTTACTCCACTATGCTTAAAATGCACTATAGGGGCTGAAGAATCTATAGAACATGTCATATTTGAATGTCCTCAATATGAATATGCAAGAAAGAAATGTTTTAAAGAAATAAACAAAATAACAAACTATGACTTAAAAAACAAAATAAGAGAAATACTTGCTAGCCTAGACACTGAAATATATAGAGAAATAAATAACTATCTACAAACAATCAAGAAAAACATGTAAACTCACACAGAAAATCTAACTCACAAAACAATATCCTGTGGCATTGGGTTCTTCTTTCCGTGGTCCCCCCTCCCTTTCGGGTTAGGTTAGGCCTGACGGACCCCTGGCCGAGAAGAGCATCTCAAATCCAAACCCTATATCCTTGAATATCCTCACCCTTAGAATTATCCTTCTTTAAAGTATACATACTAACTAAAACTCAAAAACAAAACAAAACATAAATGTCATTAGTGACTAACAAAAATCTATATGTTTGTTACAGATAAATGTGAAAAACTGTTAACCCAGGCAACCACAAGACGATAAAAGGATACTAAATTCATAAGTTTGTGTACAATTGACTACATGGTGTTAAAATCATTGAGATATAGATTATAACTGGAGTCACTACTCTCTGGTTAAACGTTAGAGAAAAACGTACCACTGTTTTGGCTGGTTTGTTTTTGGTGTTTCGTGTTGTTATGTTGGCCGTGTGATCGGTTGGTGGGATGCTGTCAATACTGTCAAATAATTCCAATTCATTCTAACCTAACCATACTATTCATTTGGGGTTATGTTATCCGTTATTTCAAGGACTTGTATCAAAAACTTATTTAAGTTATTGCACGTTAAAACCTCTGTATTTAAAGTTATATTATAAATGGTTTTTGTTTGATAGTAAATAAATACTAACTTATTTACCTCTTTTCAAACTATGTGGTAAATATAGGCTACTCAAGTTTCCTGGTTTGGAGATATTGGTTTAGGCCAATAGGCCTATGGCATTTGATTAAATAATGACCATCGGTTTAAATGGGTTGCTCTTGTTCGTAAAATAAATAAATAAACTTATATTGCAATCATAATGTTGAGTTGGCAGAGATTTTTGTTTACCACATATCAACAAAACAGGATGACGCCATCTTGATTTTGCCTGTAATTTGACAAGTCCCACCTAACCAACCCGATCACCCGGCCAACCTAACAAAACGAAACTCTAAAACAAAAAAACCAGCAAAAACAGTGGTACGTTTTTTGAACACAGAGTGGTTACTCCAGTTATAATGTGTTATAATGGCTCAGTGGTTAAAATACCAAGTCAGCCAAAGGCATTAAGAAAAAAAAAAAAAAATTGACATTGGCAATTTGGCGTCTGCTTTGCTTTTGCTTTAGTAGATAGGCCTTTCCTCTGCCGCCTATGATATCTCTCCTTGGGAAGTCTTGTTCGCCTTTCTAATTATCAACTCAACATTAACATTCTTAATTTACTAATAACACATTTATAGTTATACTTCAAAACTATTTGTATATTGTATTAAGATTCTTTTGAAGAGTTTATAAGGCGATAAAGCCTATGTGATATTTTAATAGGGATGGCGTCTTCCGACGCTGATCTCACTTTCAAGAAATGCAAAATTATTATAATTGGAGCTGGAATGGCTGGATTATCAGCAGCGAATCATTTAATTAAAAATGGAGAGTCGGATTTCGTAGTCCTGGAAGCAAGGAAACGTGTAGGTGGCAGAATTGTCTCCATTAGAGTTGGTATGTAACCTAATTTTAAGTTGAAACTTACAACTTTTTATCTGGCCTATCCTAAGTTATCCTAGGCTCACCAGCGGAGCTTTGACCCTTTAACCCTCCTTAAAAACCATCTATATTAAATATTATGACTGGGTATATGATTGGTTACTATGCTTGTCTTCAAACCTGGTGGAGGTCACCAAATTCTTTGCAGTAGGCCTAAAAGCCCTGAAGTTTCTAGCTTTGATCAATAAGCTATTTTTTATTTTTATTTTAAAAAAGAGGTTGGCGGCCTCTTTTAACCTTGCATTTGCCCGTCCACATAGACTACAGATCTGTGCGTGGAATGTATACAGCAAAGTAAGGGGTGAGCCGGTACAGTACAAAGGTGAACTGTACTGATAAAAGTTTGTGGCAGTGACCAGCATCCGAACCCACGACACTACTGCCTTGGGCCCGATGTCCGCGACGCTACCAACTGAGCCACCGACTCACCTAATTTATTTGAAATTTACCTTTACTGACAACCTGTACTCTATTTGATTATGGTATTATAGATTACACTATTACTAACACATTTAAACTCAAGTTATCTATGTCTAACATATTATATGGCTGTTCATAATTGTTTCAGATGAAAATAAGTTTGAGTTGGGCGCAAACTGGATTCATGGGGTCCTTGGGAACCCAATGTATGAGATTGCAATGGCTAATAATTTGATAGACATCATTCACGTCCCTAAGCCACATAAAGTAGTTGCTGCCATGGAGGATGGAAAACAAGTATCATTCAAAACACTACAGGTGATGGTTTTTAACATTGTGATAGGTAAATAGTCTATGATCTAATTTGTAGAGGATAAAACAAAATATATTTGACAAATTTGTAATACTACTTAACCAAAAAATGTATATTGCCCGGATACACTCGGAAATTAGGTTTCGTCGTCCCTACTTATTAAAAATCATCAAGTAGGCCTAACATAAGTTTTAAATTCAGGGTAAGATGATCAAACCAGGCCTACATGTCACCAAGAAAAAATCTCTTTATTAATAATATAAAATAAAACAACCTTAAAAATACAAATAACATTTGACAAAATAAACTCTTCTCCTTAAATATATACAAACATTACTTTATGTACAAACAAAAATTGAATTTTTAAGCGTGAGACAGGTGCCTCGGACCTACTAGACATTTTGTTAACTAATTTGTATTAAAATAAAATATTTTACAAAACAGAACCAAATGATGTTTTCTATTGAGTCTATACTCTTGAAAATAGGATAACAACCAAAGACCACCTCGTATGTAAATATATTTTGATTTGAGACATATTTCTCGAACCTAATGATAATTGGTGAAAACAAAATTAAAATTGTTATCCCTATAACACTAAAGAATGGCTTCACCAATATGACGATACAGTTTCAGTTGTATTCTACTAAATCAAAAACACGTGTGAGTCTAGTTTAGGTAGTTCTTGTTATGCGAGACATAGGCATACCTCACCCAACATGACTAAAGGGTCTTAACACAAATTTACAGAAAACTATTTAAATGTTGATAATATGCAGTGCCGAAGACGAAAATTCAACCCCTAATTATCGTCTACATAAAAGAGAGATCATCTCACTACTAATGAAGATAGAAATAACATTCAACCATAGGTTGCTGATGTCCCTAAACAAATAAATGCACGTACGGTACTTGGATTGTAAATCAACACTTTACTGTAAGAACCAATGTACCATGTGTGAACCAATGTTTAACGTGATCACCAATGGACTACTGTTTTGTGATCAAGGTAGTGGTTAGTTTAATCAATAAAATAAAATCATTCTAATTTTAGACAGTCTACCGGACATGCCTCTGACCATCATTCATTATGAAAACAAAATGTAATAGCCTAATCGATTAAATTAAATCATGGTAAAGATGATCTAAGAGACATCTGCCCCTGATCAATGTTTACCGAATTTAGGTTTTCAAGTCGTCCAATGTGCTCTTCTACAGTTCAAAATACTTCCCAATGGGTCTGAACATTTTTTCCTAGCATATTCTAGGCTTTGTAGTTGTTTCACTGATAATCTGTGATGTTTCTTGAAACCCCGATACCATTACTCTCCGGGTACTCCATTTTTAAAGGGTTTGGTAATCTTGTTTTTTTTTTTTTATATAGCCTACTCCTCTACCACCTCTAGAAGCTCTTTTCTGCTATGGCATCAACCCCAACATTCCATCACTTTTACCCATTCACCACTTTTTCTTCCTCATGTGATGGGATTCCTGTTCGTCTCCCCAAAGTACTACTTTTCCCTCTTCTACCAGAACGGTGGTGATGGAGAATGACTTCTGGTATCTTGTATTTCCTAGCAGCACCTCTCAATGTGGACTGGCCAGAAGCAACATTTTGGAGTGCTTTTTCCAAGTCTTCATGAGAATACTTTGAACCACTATCAGTTTTCCTCACATACGTTCGCACCATGTTAGTTCAGGTTGGTTTAACATACTACACTTCACTTATAATATCTGTGATATAAAACCACAGTCCACAGTCACCAGAAATGTATTTGAATGCTAGGCCTACACGTAAACTACTGAGAAGCAATGTGGGTGAAAGCATTCATAATCCTAAATGCCATTGTTACAACCTGAAAAAATAAATTAGGGTTAGAGTAACCAAAACACAGTTAAGGTCCAAAGGTTAACTAGCGATTTCATACGAACAATGCCCCACGTGTCTTGTGTAATTCATAAAGGACATACCGTTACAGTGGTTTTGGGATGGCAACTCTGTCTTTTGGAAAAACATGATTTCTTCATGAAGGCTGCATTCAAGCGATTTGCATATTGTGCCATTTTTCAAGGATTGCTGTAAAGAAACAAGTTCTGGATCCTTATCAGTTTCCTCCAATAAATTTTTTATAGGTATAACAAAGACCTACAATACATACTCAATTTGAGCTAATGAAAACACCATGCTGAGTATTATATTACAATAAACAGTACCTATCAGCAATATGACACATACTTTCTCCTATTAGACTAAGTGTTTCTATACGGGAGATTACTATCCCGAATAAGGTATTTTCAGCTCTGACAACCCGGACCAATTTCATTTTTCATTTTGATGTCCCCAGAGGCCAAAAACACCATCCGTTCGAATTCACCTACATTAATTCTAACGAGTTTGGGAACCAACATGCTCGGACCATGCCAACGGGATTTTATGGGGGGATTTGTGGTGTAAAAATTGGGTTTTCTCATTTTTCAATAATTTTGTAGAGCTTAAAAAAACAGAATTTAGTATCTTGAAGTGTTTTTGTACAGTTAGCCTATTTGTTACGTAGAAAATTAAAAAAATTGTAAATTTAAAATTCCTTTGTTATTTTCATTTAAAGAATAAGTAAACTGTTGTAGTTTGCTTGTTTATGGATATACAGGGCTCTTAAAAAATATGGACCCAGTTTCGGGACTTTGTTATTCAAAAAGTATAAATCGGAAAAATTAAGTTTCACACCGCTAGAAAGAGAAAATTTCAGAGTTGTATTTATACATTGATTACAAAGCTCAATGGGTCCCCCCTGTGCTGCACGGCAAACATCTAAGTGATAGCCAAACCTGTCCCACAAACGAGACAGCATCTCTTGTATCACTGATTGCACAGCTGCAATTTCTTGAAATCGCCTAAACCAACGAGTTATGCTTTTTCTAGTCGGTAGTTCAATACTGAATTCGAAGTGAAAAGCCCGCCGCATAATAAATAGGAGACTCAGTTTTTGCAACTCTATCACACAGAAAATCTTATATGCTGCATAGCAATCTTACTAAGAACTAATGGTAAAAAAATGGCAGCCCATTGTTGCGATAACTTTTTCGGCCGTTTACGGAACCATGGTCAAATTAACTTTTAAATTTCTTCTTTTGAAGTGTGTAAAATTTATGTTTGCCCGAAATTTATACTGTTTGAGATAAGATACTAAGTCATGAAGTTGGGTCCATATTTTTGAATAGCCCAAAAGTTTGATCAAACTTGGCAAACTTATTTATTTTATACCAAGCTATTAATACTTTCTAAAAAACACACTTTATTACCCTTCCTGTAGCAGTTAAGCTAGGTACTTGTTAAATTAAATTTTATTGAATTGGATTTAATTGATAATCAAATCAGGCAAATAGAAATTTGCTTGGCCTGCTGGTTTGCTGTGGCGGGGGTACAGTAGAACCTCAAATACTCTAACCTTAATATCTCGACTATTATTAAATCCTCTTGAAATCCACATTAATCATAATGTTAAAAGTAGCTTTATAAGTCAAAGTTTCTAAATATTTGACCTTTAACAAGCCAAATTTTTGATCAGTAATAATTCAACCTCTGTAACTCAAATTTTCCCGTCATCGAGTCTCAGTAACTCGAAGTTTACCTTTATAAGTCAAAGTTCGCACGAATGTGTCTCAATAATTTGAAGTTTTGCCTTACAGTGCAAGTCAGTTGTGTTTTGACTCCTGTCGGGACATGAAAAATCCAACTTCCTGTGTTTGCTTCCTGTGTCTGTTTGGCTATTACTGTAGTCAAACTAATTTTTCTTTGTTATTTAGTAGGTTTTTAATGTACTCTATCAAACTTATTCATTAACTTGTTCCATACACTAGGCCTACACAATGTTACAAAACGTTAACAGGACTTACGTTTAACCTCAATAACACCAAACATTATGATAACTACAGTACTGTGTATCGGTAAACAATGGTTGCTTAGTATTTTTCAAAGCAGTTTTTCATTATTTGTATTGTAGGGATATCTAATCATAATGTAAGCATATCTATCTATATAAATAAAATTAGAGTTTTGTCTGTACATTGCTCAGAATCATAAATTTTTAGGTTATTTTTACGTTTTATTAATTAAAGGAGCCGAAACAAGTCTCATCTAAATTTCTGTCTGTCTGTCTGTCTGTCTGTCTGTCTGCAACACTCAAGATGGCATTTTACGCAATCTTCTCCGGGAAAACGAGAGTACCTATCAAGATCCAAGTCGTTTTAATGTATTTACTGGATTGGTGAGAGTGTCTTTAGCCATTAAAATATGGTCTCACTACTTTGTAAATAAAATTACGGATGTTCAAAAATGCAGTTTTGTGCGATTTTTAAAGTTTTCGTCCAATTTTTATCACATAATCATCTATGAAATAACGAACAGCTGTTCGGATCAAGATTATTTTTTCTAGCTGTCACTGATATGTTTACAAATGTTGTTTACAAATACCGCAACCATTTTCAAACGCTTCGAAAGCGAATCTCAACGAAGTGAGATTAAAAACGTTTTTCTTACATAACGGATTTAATTAATCGCAAGTTCAATAATATAGTGTAATAGTGTAACCGTAAATGAAATTAATTAACTAGGTATCATCCATGTCAGGAACCAGAAATTCTTTAGTGTAAGAAATTGTTCTTGAGTTTTGATAACAAGAAAGAAGAACTTGAATCTGTGTTGTATACGGGTGGGAAACTTAAATTTAATAATGATCGTCGCCAATAGCTTAGAAACAAGATATCCACTCAGTGACGGCGCTTCAATGGCGGTTGTGTAAAGTGTAAAGTAAATAAATCACAACTGCAGTAGGTGATTGTAACAGAGGTTTACGGATGATGCTAAACTCGATTTTCCAATGTGTCACTTTCTGTTCCTACCATTGACTATATATATAGTCAATAGTTCCTACTCACCGTGTGATGCAATCGCTGGACCATACAGCCAATAGGCAAATAGTCCATCTCTTGGGTACGTACGCCTAGC